TGCCTTTTCAGCGAAAATTAATTCCAGCGAAAATAAAGTATTCCACAGTATTCACTATCTGAAAGCTTAGATATAAGCGAATACAATAGTATTCATGCTGCACCAATGTTTATCTAGAATATTACGTGGTGCTGAAGTGTTGACTGCCAATTTCAAGTTATTCTACATATTACATTTTTTAATTTGTGTATGTACCATTATTCAATATATACACGAATCAGAACAATTTTACGGAATAAGAGTACCGTAAAATCTGTATTAGAAGCCGCATCCCTAATAGAAGTCGCACCCATTTTTTTTGAATAATTGAGAACCAAAAATTCATCATTTCTCATATGTGTAGATGCTCTATTAGAAGCCGCATCCCCTCTGTTGCATTGTACCATTTTAATAGAAGCCGCGGTTTCTAATACAGATTTTACAGTAGTTCACAAGTAAGCTCTTTTGAATACAGTCAACCAAAATGTTGGTCTTTATCTTAACCAGCTTGTTGAAAAGCAACATTAACAATAGACAAGTTTCTAGATATGGCGTCACATTTGGTTTCTGTGTGCAATTTGTTTGTTGATTGCCCCGGTTTCTGGCGTTCAGATGAGCTACTAAACGTTTACGAGGAGAAATAAAACACACCCACCCCCCACGCATGACGAAATTTAAATATTTATACACTAAAGCGTGCAAGTTTCTAAGGTAACGGAAGAACTCAAAACTTGACTAAATAATTTTATGAGCTAATTTAGAATACTGCTGTCTAAATATCATGGAATGCCACACCATTCTGCCATTTAAGCTTTAAAATAAAGGGTAAAACCGGGACACCCTTGCTTCCACACTCAGAGCCCATGTACAGAAAACAGGACTGAGCGTCAGGGAAATACGGTGACCCCTGCACGAACTGGACGTGACCGTCGTTAAGCAACCAGCCCCTACCCCAGGCCGAACAGAAACATGCGTACCACCAACTGTTGCCGTGTATACTGACAGACAAAGCCCAGAGTATCTCCCCTTACCCAAAACGAGGCAAAACCACTACTGCACACCACCACCACCACCACCCTCCCTTCTCCTCCCTGCAGTTGTAAACACAGGACTGTCATATGTTGGGTGAATCAGGCCATAGCCTACGTCACGTGTAAACCAGAACTTGACAAGTCTCCACATTGAAGTAGGCAGCATATTGAGAGATAAACTCAAACTTCCAAATCTTGAAATAATATCTACAACTCATACTTACAATTCTCCAGCTAAAATAGCAAAAAATCGGATACTCATTGAGTAAAGAACGAAAGAAACCCAGCTGACATCATAGAGTTTCTCCTGAACGGAACCACTTTTGCAAATGATCTGCGCAGTCGCACGAGGAATTAATAAAAAACGAAAATAATTGAATGTAAACAATGATTGGTGGCGCACTCACCGTTTTACAAACGAG